TCTTTCTCGAAGCCTACATAAAATGGAAATTCGATCATTGCTCCTTCGAGGGTTAGGTCTGGATTATAATTTCTGTTTCATCTCAAAGCTTACATAAAATGGAAATTCTATCGTTGCTCATTCGAGGATTAAATCACAAAATGCATATTCTGTAAACAGATTAAAATGCATTGCGCCCTAAGAGTCGTCCCAAGAGATTAATCCAAACATCGTGGCTCGACTGCCCCAAGGCACTCTGTCTCTCGTCCCTCGTAAAAGTCCCCAAGAAAGCAAGCTAACACGGTGTAAAAGTATAAGTCTTGTTCGACGTGATTCACAGTTACTAAAAAGGCTTTGAACCGAGGTAATCCGACTGTAGCCAGTATTTGAGAGCATGGGTGGTGACTTGACCTAAGCAGGAACGCGAAAGGCGAGGAACGAAAACTAAGAAGCGATACCGAGGAAGATTTTATCCAACGATACTTCGAAATTTCCCTGTTAGAGGGACATTTCTCTCGCAAAAACCGATTTCTCGATGACAGTACGTACGTGCGCGTTACTCCTGATTCCGAGAGGGATTAAAACGATAAAAAATCGCGGAAGAACGCTCGGCGAAACGGAATGTGAAGAATCCTGTGTATTATCCAGCGGGCGAAGTGAAAAGTTGCAGCAGAAGAACATTTTCCGGCGGGTATTCATGAGGTCGAATGCCACTGCAACGGGGCTTGCTCAGGCTGCTTCAAAAACTGGCGTCAGTTTTTGCGAACGAGCAAATATGAAAGTGTAATCGATCGAAGAAACCGGTAATAAATTGAATCCGAATTTGATAAACTTATTTTTTCTCCATATATAAAATGAAATAAAATAAATATTATCATGTACGAGATTATAAACGTGGTTTTGTGAGTGATAGAATTTACCAATATGGAACTAAAAAAATTCATTTTCAAGTTGAGACGTCGAGGAAATCAAAAGATTATCTTACGATGGTCTGATATCAAAATTTCAGTCTTGCAGAATATTATGCGGTTTTGATCCGACAGTGAACGCGTCAAAAAGGAAAATTGTATAGACGAGCGGTGTGTTTACGTAAATTTTAATAAATTAACACGGATACTCGAATTAAAATAATTTTCAATTCGACCTGCATTTTAATGGGACGTGCACTTTTGGAGCAGCCTGTACACTCGAATATTTTTCTTCTTCATGGTTCTTTACAGCCAGCGAGCATGCATTTCTCTAAGGTAACCCGCTTCCAGAACTGGAATCGGTCCAAAGACTGAAGAAGGAAATTTTGAATCGAACCTCGGTTGTTAGACACACGTACGCACCACCGGAGATGCATCATCCATATTTATTGCCTCTACGAAGTGAAATGTTCGAAAACCAGTCGTATATAGCGCTGCTAGGAAATTTTTCAGACGAGAATAGATATTTGATTCCTGTTCCGCTGCAATATTGTTCCGACTTCGAATATACTTGGAATCTGTTTAGAATTTCTTCGTACGTTTTATTCTAATAAATTGTAGTTTTAATGGCGAATCGACTCCATGCTTCTATCTATTACACCAGAACTCGACATCGAGTGTGATCGGTTTGGGAAATAACTCTAGCGTATCGAGGCCTGTTGCCTATCTCTGCGTATGGATTCCCGTGGGTCTCAGAATTGGGATATATATAATTAGCGCGAACCACCAGTGCAATACTAAAGTGGACGCTGGTCGCTGCAAAGCCTTTCTAAACCTCCACTGTCGCCGCCAGAATTAATTAACCGCAATTCACACGACAAACCGAAACTCCACTACGCGATATGGAGCGACCTCTGTCGCTACGATGATCCAACCCCATCGGCCGGACCAGGAAACTGGAGACTAAACACCCTGTCACTCTAACAGTGGTCGACAAACTGTGACTCCCGAGCCACGTGCATCTATTTAGCCCAATTATCGAGACTCCTGATCCACCGAAAACTCGAAAAGATCAAATAAAAGCCCTGAAATCCAACACGATATTAAATTACCTTCGTCTGACACGTTCAGTGTGCTTGGAATTTAATCGAAACTGTTTAGTTTAAGCGTTACTTTATTTTAGACAGAACATAACATCGTACAACACGGTATTTATATTCATAAAAAATAATATGTCGTATGGAATTAAAAATTAGTAAGAAGTTTCTCTGAAAAGCAAAAGTAGATTTCAACGAGTAATAAAACTATTATTTTGTTTCAATAATTATAGTGGATAAGGTTATTGGAGCTATTAGAACGAGATAATGTTGCTAAAGTTCCGTGTTATGAGGGAGTTGACAGTATAAACAAATTTCATTATATTTATGTATTTATATTTATACATTACGTTTCGTATTAGTTAAGTAGAAACTAACAGATTATTGAAGCAAATGAAATTTCATGAAATAATCATTATCCATAATATCGGAAACATTATTACGAATGAAACTATCCGATTAATTTCTTTTCTTATTATAATATTTAATAAACAGTCCAGTGAAGCGTATTGAAAGTAGTAAAACTTTGAACTCATACAGTTCGGAAACTACTAGTGTTTTATTAATTATTGAGCCATTGTTAGAAGCGGCAAAGCCTCCCCTTTAAAGCGGCTTTTTGTTTTTGTCGATCGGACTTTCCGTTTTTGAGATATCGTAATTTATATGAAAGTGTAATTTTTAAAATTCCGCTCTGCGCCTTATAAAAGCCCATTAACCCGTATTAAAAATACTAAAACTTTAGATGCCTGCAGTTCCGAAACTACTAGTGTTTTATCAATAATTGAGCTATCGTTAGAATCGGTAAAACCTCCCCTTTAAATTGGGTTTTGGTTTTTGTCGATCGGACTTTCCGTTTTTGAGATAACGTAATTTATGTAAAAGGTAATTTTTCTTAATTCGACAATCTCTGTCTCTGTCTAACGTGTCGCGTCGGACCTCTTTGTCTCGCACGTGACTCGCGACTGAGTGGCCCAGTGACCTAGTTTCTCCGAGCACGTGCGGTCAACGACCTTGACAAGGCCGTAGTAAGAATGTAAACAAACGCTTCGGACCCTTGTATCTCCGAAACTAGCCACCGCATCGACTTGAAACTAAAATCGCTATATCTCCGGAACTAATGAAGCTATCGACTTGTTCGAACGCTCATTTTAAAGGGCATTTCATCCTCTATCCAAGGAATATAGCACATATTATAATTTATGCCGTCTTCTATGTTTATTTTGAAATTTACTTTGACGCTACATACCCAAAGAAGTTTCAACAATTCCTATTGACTATACGACTGGTATTCGATATAGCTGATAGGTTTAGTGTTAAGTATAAGTAAGTTTCATAAGTACTTATTCTTGGACAATAATATATATGTTCTAGAAACAGTACAACATTGTTAAAACTATGAGTCCTCATAAAGTACCATTAGTCTTTGAATAAATATATAAAATTGTTTTCTTTCCCCTGTAAATGGTAATTATTTTAAAAAAGTGAAAGAGAGAAAAGTTTTGTCGTTTTGTATAACCAACGCAATAGTGTATGTGAATTTTTTATACGTGCAATAATTTTCGAGAAACGGAGCCAATTTTAAACTGTTTATATCGTTCGTCACGTGTTCCTTTAACTACGAAAGAGTGCATCGAAACAAATTCAATTACGTGATAAGAATTACGAAAGAAACAGATCGAATTATTGGAACCCATCTATGTTTCACGTTTTCTTCGCCACGTTCCCACCTAGAAATCTAACATTTCATCCGCAGATCCCAGCGAGCTATTCATAAATATGTGATTCGCTGGTCGGCGATAAAACCAATAAGACCGTGAAACACCGTGATTTATCGCATTATTCGGCATTATTAAACGGCGCCATTTGTATTCGTTTCGCAGCCCCATAGTCCGTACGCGCGGAAAATCGTGAAACCCTCGGAAAATGTACTGAACTCGAACGACCGTTCCAGGCCCGCCACTTGGGATTTCATTTCGGTATTTCTGCATTCTTGAACCGCAAAGGTTGCATGATAAACTTGGCTCTGGAAATAGTCCAGAAGATGCCGGATAAAAGATCGCGTCTGGATTGTGCCTCAGTCTTTAGATGCACTTACGCGTAAACAACGACGTATTGTCAATATTTATTGGCTCTCTGAAATATTAGTCGCGGAGCACGTCGCGATCTCATTCTGCCCCATATCTGGGTCGAATTTATCCTCAATAAAAGGATTACTCTTGTTTTCTATCCATTAATTCTCCATTCTACCGTACACCTTTGACTGTGTATTACATTGCATTATACTTATATTTGCCCTATTTTTACAAATATTGTGCGAGGATAATAAAGTAGGTAATTAAACAATTTTAAGGTAAAAACAATGTATGTATTTTATACGGCGTACGAACTTTAAAAAAATTGTTAAGGGGGTCAAAAACTAACGTCGAACTTGCACCTATTACCTCTTTTGAAAACTTTTAAGAAAATTTAAAATTAAAGGAGCAGTGGCTCTACGAGCATTTTACATTGGAAACATGATTACGCTTCCGAAACTCTTATTAAAAATTCTGAGAGCACAACCGTGTCTTAAATACATTCAATGGGGTTCCACGAACTTCGAAGAAAAAGGCTATGAAAATAAAAATTTCGTCCACGCTGACCGTGTCAGGAATTTTTATTAAGAAATTCGATAACGTAACCATCCCCCTTCTACTTTAATTTATCATTTTTTTATTTCTATTCTTCCTTGTCGTTTTGTCGTAAAAATAAAACGATCGATTTTCGATAAAATTCCTTCTCGGTAAGTTGTACTGTAAATTCTTTTTTACTCTCGAGAGAGTCGTTGCAAAAAGTATCTCGACGAATGTAAAAAATTTTTGAAATATCGGAAAGGGATTTGTTTGAAATCCATCGTATTTGGGCAAAATGTGATGGTGATTTCGGGACGCCCTGCGTAAGAAAACGGACTTCCCAACCCCGCCAATTTAACTTTCGACAGAATTTACGGCCCACCTGATGTCTCGTAATCAAATTTCAGCGCCGTCCGTCCAAATAGTGGACGCCCTGGGTGAGCCCCTGAGGGACAAGTATTATGAGGCAGACAGCACCATCGAGCTATTATGCGTTGTGCGTCACATAGCGATGCAAGTGCAGTACAGCGTCGTCCAGTGGCTCCACGGCAACCGAGTTCTGAACTATGACACGACGAGAGGCGGTATCAGGTGACCTAAACGCTAAAATGTTACTAAACTTTCGTGCATTAACGCTTTGACGGACGCGAAGACTTTAGGTACAATCTAAACAAAATTGTCAAACTACTTTCGATCCGAAGTTTTCACATTCTATATTTTATAAATGTTCAAGTATTGTGGCATTTTAATCACGAACCAAATTTAACTCGAAAGCGAAAAAGAAAGAAAGAAATCGTTTAGTTTCATGGTTCTTTCAATTTTTCTGTACCATCAAAAATTATTGATGTGTTTGAAAATAAATTTTATTTTCACGAGCAACGAAATATTATTATTTATACTAAATGTTGGTATCACGATAAACTAATATAAACGACTGTCAGAGTGTTAATTATGACCTAACTTATTGTTAGATGAGCCTGTTCGATGAATATTTAAATTCTTAAAAACTGGATAATAGTTGTTTATGGTTTTGGCATAAAATTAGGTAGAACAAAAGTCACTATAAGCTTAATAATTTTGGTGAGTGTTTTATTGCAAATAGGGGTAAGGGAAAATGAATTTTATCGCGAGTAGACCATTTCAAAATTGAGTTTTTAACGAACCAGAGTTCCTTTCGTACTTTTTAATATTTCCAAGTGCGACAAAGAATATCAAATTAAGCGAACGTATAAGTAATTTCGATGTAAATTCAACCGGGCTCTGACGAATATTAAATAAGACCAAAGTTTCTCAATCGTTCGACATTCAAGATCGCGCGGTTACGAAATCTCGAACGTATTCTCTTCGATTAAGGAATTGAACTTCAAATTTGCTCTTCCTTGTGCATCGTTGAGTAAATCTGGGCCATTCGAGAATTCGTTACCCCGAATTTCGCGTAATTTAAAACGCTCGGCATTCGTTCCTAGCACAAATTTTCAAAGCGGAAATCTTTACAGTATACTTAATTGAGATACTATCTCGATGCTACGAATACCTTGCTATTTCGAATTGTACTAAATTACCGACGAAGAATGAATCCGGAAATATCAGAGCTAAATTGGTTGAAATTTCTTAGAGAATTACTTACTTGATAACAACATACAGGGTGTCCGGCCACTCCTGGGAAAAATTTCAATGGGAGATTCTAGAGGCCAAAATAAAACGAAAATCAAGAATATCAATTTCTTGACTGAGACTTCGTGAAAAAGTTATTAAAAAATTAAATTAAAAAATTTCAAATCATTCTGAAAAAATTATTTTCGGTTGCAGGGGTCGATTACAATCATTTTTGGTCATTACACATACTCCAGAAATCCTACGCATTTTCCAGAAAAAAATTCCTTACCGAAAATATAATGCCTGACCATACCATTGACATGTTTCCCTTAAATTTCAAGCGTATATTAAAAACGTCATAACTTCTGAACGGATTGGAGGATTTTAATGTTTCAAACGGCAAACAACGCGTATTTTAGGGAAGAATATGTAAGAATTCCAAGAATATTCGAAAAGTTGGTCCTCAACCCCGTAAAGTGAGAAAAACTCCATAAAAGTGGTCCAATTTTCAAACGACCATAACTCCTACAATAGTGAACGTATCTCATTGAAACTTTTTTATAAAGTAGAGCTCATGGGTATCTACAAAAAAGTATTAAATAACTTTTCTATACAATGCCAACCAAATGTATTAAAAAAGAAAAACAAATTTTTAAGAAAAATCGAAAGGGGTAAAATTTTTCTTCTGTCAAAAAAATATTCTTTTGTTTAGCCATTTTCATTAATTTTTTTATTATGCACAATAAACGCGGAAAACTAAATAAATCCATAGATAGAGATTCTCCCATTCGACAGTGCCTGTATGAAACAATATAACCGTACTTCCTGTGCTGCACGTGCAGTGACAAATATTATAATAATTCTCACATGATTGGATGCAAGTTGGAACATGTCTCGACAAATATGATTCGCATAAAGATTGATTTATATTGTGCATATTCTGTGACTGTTAGTCACATCCTGATATAATAATACACATTTTGTGAAAAAGGTTAACTTTGATATCATGACCAACTTCAAATTTGCAAATACTTATTTTTTCAGTGTTAGTTGTTAATTTAAAGCAAAACACCCCACAAAAATGTTTGGAAATGCAATATGAAATAGTCAAAAAATTTAAGTTCAAAATTCAAATGTGACTCAGTGTCAGTGTCACATCGTGGTACGATTAAGGTTAAATTTTGACGTCAATCATTTACTCTGGTCGCTCGATAAATAATATTTAAAAAATGCATACAATAAAACTAAACGAGATATACAATTTAAAAAACATGGAAAATATGCATTTTAGAATCCCCTTATCACAAAACAAATTTCTGTCTAGGACCCATAACGTAATCCAATTCCCACAAAAATACCTAACAGCACAAAGATCCACAGTCTAGCCATAATAAGTGGTTTTCATACTGATTTTTAATCCCCCAAGTAGAACTAGAACCAATCTACTCTATTAATTTTGCCAACCGCCATTGGTTCCTCCGGCGATGTTCGGTCTGATCGACTCGTCTGTTCCGCAGATACGACTGGTCGTAAATCATGCACGATACACCGAATGCAAAACGTCCGATCCTGGGCGCGTGTATAAGGCGGAAACGGGATCCGGTTACCCTCGTTACGCCCGGAAGTTATAATCCAATGTCAACAATTTGGGGTCTGCCTTTCCACGGGTTGATCTGCGTCGTGTAAACCGCTCGAGCAGCCTTGAAAACGCAAGGGTCGGTTTCCCGGAGTACGCCCACACACGGGATACCGGCGTACCCGATCGACGTCGTCGCGAGACACCCGGTCGCGTTGTCGGTGCCAGAGCACAAAGTTGGACGACGGTAAATGGAATTAGTTTGCGTTGTGCACCGTCGTACATACCCGGCGCGTGTACACAAAGGCTTGGTCTACTCGTTTCCGGGCGCATTCTCGCCCCCGCGACCGCTTCGACGGCCCACGTGGCCCGTGGAAACCACAGACCCGTAAACACGACGCCGCAGGAAGCGTCGTTTTGCCGCTCGTTATTTTTCTCTCGCGATATTACCGGCCCGAGGACGACTGAAATGTAAAGCGGCGAGTTATTGTCGCCGCTCGGTGGGTTTTAATTAACCCTGTTGGAACGATGCTTCGTAACACGGATATTGAGCGATCGTACTACGAACGGGGGTGATTTTCGTTGTCGGACGACACAAAGGGGGGTTGTTGACGCCTGGACGACAGGGACGCGTAAGAATACCTCTTCTCGTCGGAAGATATTAATTTATGCGGTGTGCACACTCCGCGACAGAAAGCACGCTAAGTGATTGTGATACTTTATGCAAATGTGGTTAAAGAATAGCAGTTTTTGTATTGTGCAGGGTCGATCACTATGTATTGTCATTTACATTTGTGTCGTTGTTCCTACATGTAGCAAGAAATATTTGAGATGAAGTTAAATGAATAGAATCAATTGCCCTAATATGAAATACTTGTTATTATACACGTGTTTCACTTGCTTGCAGAACTTTTATAGAAACTTAAATAGTTTGAAATTATAGGAAATTTTATGCTCTCTTGACTGGTTACAGTAAAATTAAAAGTATAATAATGATTTAGGAAATGTTTACTTTTTTTACTGAGGAGCTCGTTTTTTACTACACTGCGTGTCATAACTATAAAACCACTCTAAAATTTTCAATTTTTATACGTTGCTGTTAAAACAATGAAAAGCAAAGTGTACCATGTTTGAAATTGTGTTAAGGAACGGTATTCTGCCAAAGAAGGATGTATTCTATCCACTACAAAAAGGAAGAATTGAAAGCTGAGTAATTCTAAATGACAATGTGTAGTGACTCATCCTGTATATCACTCTTCAGGTAATAATATATTGTACGTGTTCAGGGTAAACATGTTTTCTCTGCTTAGTATGTTAAAGGTAATGTGAAACCTAAACATTAGTGGTGACTGATAGCACACCTTCAAAATTTTGTTTCTCCAGTCAACACAAGGTCGTTAAATTGTTCACACGAGTAAATATTTAACATTGTGAGAGTTTTAATTTCAAAATCTTGTGAAATTATTATCAATAGGTCGCGGTAGGAAATTACCTGACTGTGAAATAACAATTATTCAAAATTTACGTAAAGAAAAGTGTTCTATTGCATAATTGCAAAAGTTTTAAATCGTATTTGTAAAGTAATGTATGGAAGAAAGATATGGAAAAAAGAAAAGCACAGAGCGACCAAAAGTGACCTCCGACAATAAATATTTTGAAACACACCCATATAATTTATTATTATTATAAGACATTACAAAAATCACAAGAAAAATTTTAATGGGAGATTCTAGAGGCCAAAATAAGATGAAAATCAGGAATACCAATTTGTTGATCGAGGCTTCATTAAGAAGTTATTAACGTTTAAAGTTCCGCCTGTATTGAATTTTTTTCTCGAAAATGCACAGAATTTCGAGGGTATGTCTATTCACCAAAAATGATTGTAATTGCCCCCTGCAACCGAAAATAATTTTTCCAGAGCGATTTGAAATTTTTTTTTTCGTCGAAAAATTTAGCCACTACCCCCTGTCAATTTTGCTTAAAAATCCGTTTTATATTTTTAATAAATTTGTTTGACGCCCTACAGAAAAGTTGTCTAATACCTTTTTGTAGGTACCCATGAGCTATACTTGTCCCCAAAATTTCATTGAAATATATTCACTATTGCAGGAGTTATGGCTGTTTGAAAATTGAACCACTTTTATGGGGTTTTTCTTGCTTTACGGGGTTGAGGACCAACTTTTCGAATATTCTTGGAATTTATACATATTCCTCGCCAAAATACGCGTTGTTTGCGTTTTGAAAAATTAAAATCGTGCAATCCGTACAGGAGTTATGATTTATCAAACATACGCATGAAATTTAAGGGAAACATGTCAATGGTATGGTCAGACATTATATTTTCGGTAAGGAATTTTTTTCTGGAAAATGGTTAGGATTTCGGGGGTATGTGTATTCACCAAAAATGATTGTATTTTGCCCCCGCAACCAAAAATAATTTTTTTAGAACGATTTGAAATTTTTTAATTTAAATTTGTTAATAACTTTTTAACGTAGCCTTAATTAACAAATTGAGCACCCTGTATACTGTTTCAAAAATTATAAAATCTAACTCAAAGAGTCACCAGTTTGTTTCCAAACGATTTTGCTGTCGATTGATTATACAAGTCGCAACTATGTTATAAATGTTATTCCTTCTAGTGAACTATTTTATTACATTAAAATTTAAAGCATACCTTCGCTGGAATAATAAAATTTATTTTTAAGATACTGATAATTACGGTAAGTAGAACATTGAAAAGCACTCAAAGGGTTAAATGAAACATAAATAGAAGACTTGCACCTCGATATCTCATTAACACGAAATACTGTCCACGACTAGATTCTTACAAGAAGATTTAAATCCGTTAGAATTTTTTTAATACTAAAATTAATATACGTTTCGAGTATAGAATTTACGTAAAAATTGAACAAACTGCTTTGTTCGGTTTTACTTGTTGTAATAAACTCATGCAGAATTAACAAAGCTTCCGAAATCGACGGGCTGGAGAATTTGATAATGGCGCATTAACGAATTCGACCTCGATTCATTGCTCGAAACGTGTTTCAAAAACGATATTGCTCTTTGCAAACATATTTCCTTCTTTTATATCTTGCGCGCGAAATAATGTATCGAATCACTGAGAATTTAACGAAGCACCATGCTCGTGAAACCGAAATTAATGGCAACCACGTAAAACGCGTACAGAAATCCGGAATAAACTAAATTAATTACGTTTTACAACTCGCTCGTTTCCCCTCTGAAACTACACGATGCAGGCTAACAAAACCGGCTTAAAAAATAACATTTCTCTTCGCCACAATTTATCACACTTTCAATATTACGCTGTGCAAAGAATCGATCTCAATTCATCAGCACGCTAGACTTAATTTGACGCGATCTTCGTGTAACAGAGAACGTACTACTAGATATAATAATTAATTTCTCGTTCGTTCCTTGAGCTCGGTTAAGAAACGTAATCCATCAACTGACCGCGGGGGTTCTACGACTGTTATTCACGACGCAAATGGAAAAATGGAGGCATAATAATCGCGTGTACACTTCGAATCGTCGCATTCTGTGTTCGAGACAAATTTCAGAACTTATTAACGCTGGAACTATCGATAATTATGGTGTATTTATTTTTACCAAAAAAATTGAAACGATAAATGAAGAAATGTATAATGCAATGGGAAATAAATATTTTTTCAAATTCATTCGCTTTATGTAAAACGAAATTTGCAAAGATCCAGTCGAGTAAATGTTTTACAATGTTTATTGTAAATTACGAATAGTAATATTAGTAATAACTGTCGATAATTATGATGTGTTTGTTTGTACCAATAAAGTTAAAACGATAAATATTTTAAGAAATTTATAATGCAATGGAAAATAAATATTTCTTAAAATTGAAATTTGCAAAAATACAGTCGTGTGAATTTTTTACAATATTTATTATAAACTACGAATGACAACTTCGGTAGTTAATATTACCATGCGATTCTGTGTCGCAGATATCGAAATATTTCACGTTTCGTAGCGTATTGATAAAGAAGTTTGCTTTAAAAACGAAACTTTCGCAGATTCGTAATGACTATTGATTTTAAAGGGAAAAAGGGAACGAAAGGGTACGCAACGAACGATGCACTTGGTTCGAAAGAAGGAAACCAGCGACCCTTCTGGCGATCAAATCTCGGGACGGTCGAATGAACTAATCGCTTAAACACGCTCCACGAATTACGGGGCGAAACAATGGCCGTCGTGATTAAATCATTCGTGTACGCCAGTTACGCGTTAACAGGGCAGCAATTCAATCCCGTTTATTATACATTCGCCTGGTACGCTCGCGAAGGCCATTTTTCACAGCATTAAAATTACAGAGCCCGCGTCGTGGACAAATTTACAGTCCCGTGGAATGTTAATCCCATTACCTGAGCAGTATGCATTCCGTTCCACGGGCTCGCGATGCAATTAGCAAGGTGGGGAAAGAACGTTCGAACGAAGGGCAAATGGCACCCGGCGAGAAAAAGCACCGTCTGCCGGTTCATTAACGCGATTCTGAAAGAAACCAGGCAAAGATCGAGGTTGCTTAACGCCGTGGATCAACGAGCAATCGTCCCAGAGCTGCAGCCAGGCGGAGATAACGAACGTACAAATTGCAGCCGTGGAAACTTTTTCAATTAAACGCCATCCCTCGCTCGTCCTCGCGCCGCGCGAAATAAACTGAAATAGGAGCTACGACGTTTCCCCGTCAAATTTGAATAAAACACACGGTATGCCATTTTCTTTTTACACACCGTGTATTTGCTCCTCGTAAGTAATTCTTTCCAAGGACCGTCGAGGCCACGCGAGCATCGCAGTCGCAACAATTTTTTACAGTTTCGCAATTCACTCTCTTCTACGAGTCAGTGTTTACTAGAAATTTATTCTCTGTTGCGAGAACGCCCGGGAGATGTATAGAAATAGATGGTCGATCGAGTACTTGTGAGATTGATACGAGTCGAGCGTAGCCCTCTGGTGGCGAGGGAAGGAAGTTGCTACTTGTAAGACGCGTTGACTTTGATTATTTTTTGATAAAGAACTATACAATCTTTCTTCTTCGAATTTTTCACGCATGTTTGTCGATATTTATACAATGTCTACAAATTTTTATAGAGTAAAATAATTATAACTGACTGTTTTACGTACCATCTGAAATTTATTGTAAAAGTAACTGCAAGAGGTCGACTTTGATAATTTTTTCGCGAAGAACTATGCAACTTTTTTTCTTCGAATTTTTCACACATATTTATCGATATTTATACAATATCTACACAATTTTGTACAGTAAAATAGTTGTAACTAATCGTTCAACGTACCATTTGAAATTGGTTATAAACGTAACGATCGATGTTCCCCAACGATTCTTTTTACCGTTTCCACCGTAACCAAAAGCAAGAACCGAATGTCCGTTATAAATATCTGAAGAGCTCTCTCGATACGCGAAGATTTATAAACGCCTGGGTGCAATCGAGGGTGAAACGAGGATCAAAGGGCGGAGCGCTGCGAGTCGCGGAACGGAACCAGCAAAGAGAATAACTTCGTTGGCGAGATGTAATCCCGGCAATTAATAACAATAATGAATGGGAGACGAAAAAGCGGACGCGATCGTAAAGCAGTCGTTATTCCCGGATGAGCTCCCTTCGTCTCTCGCCTTTTGCCCTCGCCCCGACGCCATGGAGCGCGATTCGAAAATTTTTCATAATTCCCAGTCGCTTTTTAAAACGGGTCGCGAACCGAATCGTCGGGAAAAAACAAAAAAGAAATGAAACGCCCGTCTCCGTCGCGCGTGCCCTCCGAATCAGCGCCGAATACTAAGGGGATATACGGTTAAAACCTCGATTTAACGGATTTCAGATTTCACCGACAGAATTCTACGGCCATATGTCGGATATATTCCCAAGTTATGGTTCGTTCGCTCCTCCCCCGTATTACTTTAACAATGGATAATTCCCTAAAGACTGTGCTAACTCGATCCGGACTGAAAAGCTGCAGATAATGATCCCGGATAGAATTTTGAACTTATCGTGCAGAATTCTTGACAAAATTCTCGCCAGTCGTTTGTAGGATTTCGTATTGTTTTACGAATCAAATTCACCAATTTGCGAATCAAGCTTCTCTAGAAATTTATTCTCTCGTGTTATTGTAACGAAAATAAATACTCCATTTTTGAGTCATCCACAATATAAATTTGATTTGCGATAAACTAATGATTAATTCTTCATTAATAAATTAAATTTATTTTACAAAGTCGTTGATATTTTGTAAGAAATCTTGGTACTGATGTGTATAATGTAAATAAATACAAGCTATATTCTGAACAGTAGGAAATAAAAGGAAGTGGAAGATCCAGTGTACAGAAATGGGAAGTCTTACGTTTGTATTAATACGATAGAAATTGAACGCGAGGGCAAGAGGATCTTTTTATCTTTAAACTTTAACGGTGGTACATCCCTTCAAGAGTTTAAGGGAACGAGAATAAAGCGACTCGAAAATAAAAATCTGTTAGGCAATCTCGCAAAAAATGACGTGCACTTTGTGCGTGTGCTTCCGGGGAAAAAAGGTCTATTCGAGAGTCCTGTTCGAAATTGAAGTTTCAACATCGCCGTACCGTGTGTTTCAGCGTGAAAACGGACCTAATGGAAGAGGGGGCCAATTCGACTCTCAGCATAGCGAGGGTGGGACCAGCTGACAGCGGAAACTACACGTGCCATCTCACCACCATGCCTGGTCAACCTGCCACAGTTCACGTGCACGTCCTGAACGGTGAGATTACTGAATATTTACTTGTAAATGTAAACAAACATTCCAAAATTTTGCTTGTTAAGGAAAGGATAAAAATAGAAGGAAAGCTCTTTGTGACCGTACTCTAAATGTAGAGCACGTTTAATTGAAACACAACCCTGGAATATTAATTTAGACTCTTTATTATATCCAAGCAAATCTAAAGAAACCAAAATTCTGCTTGTTATGGAAAGGATAAAAATAGAAGGAAAGCTCTTTGTGACCGTACTCAAAATGTAGAGCACGATTAATTGAAACACAACCCTGCAATATTAATTTAGAATCTTTATTATATCCAAATAAATCTAAAGGAATCAAAATTCTGCTTGTTGAGGAAAGAATAAAAATAGAAAGAAATCTCTTTGTGACCGTACTCTAAATGTAGAGCACGATTAATTGAAACACAATTCTGGAATATTAATTTAGAATCTTTATTATATCCAAATAAATCTACAAAATACTGCTTGTTGAGGAAAGGATGAAAATAGAACGAAAGCTCTTTGGATGTGATGGTACTCTAAATGTAGAGCACGATTAATTGAAACACAACCCTGGAATATTAATTTATAATCTTTATTATATCTCTCAACGCCAGAATTTAATTTCGTTCCTACCAGAATATATCGGGCAAAAATTGAAAATCCAATTTCACGTGACGTTAAGAAAAATGTAGCTGGTTTTCTCATCAATGTTAAAGCTTGTCGCCTAACTAGAGGCCATTTTTACCATTTTTGGACAAAACTGTAGAATAATGACATTTTCATTCCTGTAAAGCAACGAATAAAGATTATTTCGATGTTCGCTCCTATACTCTCGTAACTTTCGAACAAAGTTTTTGCGAGCACACTTCGGGAGGAAAGTTTTCTTCGTTTCGAGATCCTTCGGTCATATTTCAAGGGCGTTCGAGCCCAGGAGCATTCTAGACCTGTATAATGATCAAACTCGGCGAGCTACTGCAAATAACGAAGAATGCGGACGGGAAACGTTGCATATTTCCGTTATCGAACGTATGCATTTATTTAAGCCGCGGCAGATTTAAATAATTTGACTCGGATCAAGAGCAGCAATAATTTAGCTAACGAGCCACGGGTTGCCAACCCTTGCTCTAGATGCATCACGAGCGAGGCAGATTTAACCGAGTGCACTCTGTAACTCATATTTCAACAACGTTTACGGCATTGCGTCAGGTCAGTTGAGAATTTCGTTCCCGCCTGCTTGATACACGATATACTGTTTAACGATTTACCAGACGTCAGATATACTCACGAACTTTTCCAAACGTGGAATGTCCAATTGTTGTCGAATATAAATTTTTATAACTGTACTTAAATATACTGGCGATTCATATCTTCTGAATTTTCAAAAAGTTCTCTTTTAACAATAACCAAATATATTGGATCCCACAATCACGAAGATAAATTTTTTAGCTTCATAAATGTCTGAATACAGTCGAACTACATAATAATTTCATTGTTATTGGAGTAGGATTTAATGGGAGGTTATTTTTGAAAATGCATTAGATGCCAACCAGTTCGCATTGTTATTCGTTATTATTTCGTGTTGGCCTCTGGTATACATCTTTCTGCACTTTTATACGGTCTTTGCTTCATCGTTCCGTACTGGAGTTACCTCATTTTCCCCACATTTTTTCGTGAAATAGAGGAACTTGCTCTTCGAGCAACAAAGCTCTGCTATTTTGTTATATAAAATGTTTGTTGTAACGGTCCATACAATTTTTCAGACATTTCTAATTACGTGAAAGAATTGTTCCCAGCGAAAGTTAATTAGTACCCAGTCGACTACAAGTTCCAACTTAAAAAATTCACAAAAAAGTTTTTTTAGAGATGAAAACCGTTGGGATTTACGACCTTAATATAATATTAAGTATTTTATCTACCAATGTTTCTCTGTTCACGAATAAAATAATTTCCCATTTATTGGCCACAGATTTCTAAATCCGATAAGTATTTTGACAACTCGGTTTCAATCAGCTAGAACGCTATAGAAAATCACATAGTGCTAATAGTACATATTTCAGGAATGGGAAAGTTTGTTTAGGACGTGACTAGATTTTCCTTAAGTACGATAATAGTCATCATGTATCGTTGGTTTCGACATCCCTTATGGCTAAGGACAAATTAAACTTAGGTCCTATTGACGTGTATGTTGCATCGCGAGGATGGTTAATAAGTCCCCTAGCTGCACTTCGTAGCGTCCCAAGTGCCAGTGCAACAACGTTTTAATTAAAAGTTTCGAATTCTTTTGTTTATCTCTGTTTAATCTAAAGTTTCACGCTAGACACGGTTTCGCCAAATTGACGAAATGATTTTAAAAACTCGTTCGAGCGTAAAATAATAAGCGAATAGCTAGCGCGTACACCGTCTTCTGGCTGTTTCACTGAAAGTGGCGTAGTTACGGACGAACAACTTTTTCAATACTTTTGATACTTCGTTCAAAAAGCCAACGAAGTTATGGGCACGCCAAATTTGCTTGATAAATGATCGCGGAGAAATTAATTAACTCTCGATTGCCAGTATTTCGTAATTATCGAGGAAAGATTTTTATTGGAAACAAGTTCCCTTCCATCGTTTATTGATTCATCTTTAATTATGTTTTAATATTTGTCGATTGTAACTGTTACTCCGTAAGATTATTTTAAAATATGATGCCTCGAAATGACTGGAAATTCGTATCGTTCCACGAAATAATTTCTATAATTATGACTCGAGTATAAGGAATGTTTAAAAAATGAAGTCTTGAATATTAAAATTTGAAGAAAGAACATGTTTTACTTTGCCACGAAGGTAGTCAACTTCTATAATTTCTTTAAAAATTAACTAATTTCAAGTCGATCGGCCAAGTAATTTTAAAGGGAATAAATTTCTATGCTGGTCGAAACTTTTTGGCAATTATTTGATGAAATCTGTACAGAATTTTTAGTCCGAGTAATGTTAAACGGTCACGAGTAGCATGCGCTCACAATCTTTATAACGCTGCCAGAATGAAAGTCACGTGGTTTCATTAAATATCGTGTAATATTTATGCATATTACGCTTAATTACAAGTGTGCGTGACGAAAGAAGTAAGCGTGGTATCAGGGAGCCTTTTATGGCGTTGCTCTAAAATTATGATCTAAGGTGCAATGCACAACAAAACTGATAAAATAAATAAAACTTATCGCCACGAATAAAAACCGACTACGTAGATGCAAAATCTCGGTAGACATTTCGACGAAATATTTATTGGTAATTTAATAAACCAGAAGTTAAATTCACCATCCCCAAAGATGCTCGTTTAATTTTCTAGAAACTTAACATTTAAATAAAAAAATGATTCTAATAAAGTAAATTTTCGTTTTCTCACGGAAACGTAGTGTTTTATCGATAAATCTTGAATATTGAATTAGCGCGGGGCGAACGAATTCCAACGTCGTCCTTTTCATTTTCCTCGCCTCATTTTACACTATTTCCTAACTATTATTTCCCACAAAAGAAGTCGGTTATAGCGGCGTCTCGAAATTCCGGATTCCATTGAATCCTACAATTCACATTTTTCATTGAACGAGAAAACGAACATGCCTCCATCGTTCCGTATTTGAGCTAAACACGAGCAAGGATTGCGCGGTGAAAAAAAAGTTTCCACGAACGCGTAGCTTGTTCCGTCTATTCTATTCGGTTCGAGTTCATTTCATAATGGCACTTCTAATGGCTAAAGCTTTCCTTTCAGAACGGAACTCCTCGAATTTCCATTTTATCATTCTCGAACGCGTGCCGATAATTCACTTCGAAAGTCACGGAACGGAAAACGCTTAATTGATAGGACTTCGCGGAACCCGATACCGTCTAATTCCTGACAATAAAGCTAAATTGCGCGGCTGTGCAACAGTCTCGGACGCAGAAACAAATAGAGAAAGTGTTTCGATCGAGTCTTGTGTATACGTTCATTCCCGCTCGTATTCGTACGCTATAATGGTGATTCGCTTCACCGAATGGAAAAGAAAATTGTTTCCATTTCAAATAAGTTTCCATAATAGATCCACGTTTTCATGTATTGCGATATTTAAAGATTTTCCTTTGAATAAATTAAAAATAAAAGCTACGAAAGTTGTCAGTTGCCGTGGCACTTTGGAAACTATGGTTCTTAGCCCCAAAAATAGGTTTTTACTTTTCCTGTGAGCAAAGATACTCCTTCAATAGAAAATATATATCTTTAGACCTCATACTGTGATAACTTTAAAAGAAAATAGATATTGTGCCTATACTGTTCCAAAATGAAAGGTAGAGAGGGGCAGGGATTTTCAAACATCGGATATGCGAAAAGACTGTATAAGGTTAACGCAGGTTAAGTCTATACATGTACAACTGTAAATGTATTGTTAATAAAATCGTTGTTGAAAAAGAATAGGTTCTTGTCCGATCACCGACGTTAAGCTGCGTTGGTCGCGACCAGGCTGAGATGGGTGACCGTTTGTGGAACACTGCGTATTGTTGACAATTATTATTATTGTATGTTATTAATATTATACTTTTCTGTCGATTTTGTAATTGGGAATTATGACCCCTTAATATTTAAAAAAAAAAACTAGTTTGTAACTGAAAGGTAAGACAGTGGTAATGAACAACATTTAGTGGAAATAAATAGAAAATAAAAGTTTCTATACACTTATAGTGAATCACTATTGTAGTGTACGAATACCACCATACGTTTCCAAGGGTAATAATAAACCAGTGGTAATAAATAATGTTTGGTGAAAATAAATGGAAAGAGAATTCATGAGAAACAAGTTTCTATCCATTTATAGTGAATCACCATTGTAGTGTACGAATACCAGTGGGAGTTTAACTATATTTGTAAACATTTGCTTGTGAATATAGTAAAGAATAGGCAATATTTGGCCCTCATAGTACACAAGGCATTTGTTTGTAAAATGAAAATAAATATGATGGGTGTAGCTAAACAAATGATAAGTGTATTCATCCATCAATGGCCCACCATACGTTTCCAAGGGTGGTAATAAACAACATTTGGTGAAAATAAATAGAAAGAGAATTCATGAGAAACAAGTTTCTATCCATGTATAATAAATCACCATTGTATACCAGAGGGTGTTTAACTATATTTGTAAACATTTGATCGTAAAAATAGTAAAGAATAGGCAATATTTGGCCCCCATAGTACACGGGAGGGTTGATGAAATGAAAATATGGTGGGTGTATCCAAGCTTCTGATAGTTGTGTATCCATCCATTGCTCCGAAGAGCGTACAGTCGCTGGTTTGCGGTGTTTGAGTGTACGTACCCGGTGTTTCAGGAGAAAGCTTAGCCGAGTTGCATCACGGAAGCGCGGAAACTGTCGTCGGGACGAGCGGCGGCGCCGTCGTCGGATCGTTGCTTCTCCTTCTGTCCGTTCTCCTCGGCTGGATACAACAACAGGTGCTCAGATGAAGGCCCCACGTCGTTCGTCGCGTTCCGGAAAGGCGCGAAACGAGCACGACGCCGGACACCGTCGTGACACGGGCGCCGCGGCACAATACGGACTTTTATATTATCGCTGAAGAATGGACGTGGCGGAGTGTGTGCGCGAACAAGGGAGCGAAAAAAATAATGGACGAACGAGAAAAGGAGTCGAAAGGTTGGGGGATGTGTGTGGGAGAGTGGTGAAAGTGGAGGGAGGTTCGAAGCGTTGATAGAGAATGGGCTGCGAGCGGGACGGGGGAAGAGAGGTTGGCAGCATTGTTCACGGGCCGATTGAAGGTGACTCTTTCCACGTCGCTGCGCGACAGTGTTTTCCTATTTCACCGGCAATTCTTCCTGTTCGAGTTCGGGCTGGCAAAGTGCGTCAACTTCGCATCTTTGTCCTTTCGGGTGTTTCCCCGGCACCGGGCGCCTCGCGCGATATACGAGAACGTTTCACGGAACACGAGCACGGAATCGACCCGCGTAACTGAAACGATTCCGGAGCAGTGTCTAGGCTCGAAGGGGTTAGTCGCGTTCTCATTTCGTTCTAGGACGTTTCATGGCACGGATCCGGGAATCCAGTTACGCGTGAACCAACGAGAAATCGCATAATTTCTGCCATCTATGGGTTTTGAATATTTACGTGAGTATCTTCATTTGTAATGGCTTGAACTAACTTGACTATGTACGAAAATGCAACGAAATTAACAGTTTAATTCAAATAGCTCTAAATTCGTCAGTTTTATCAAAGTATCTTTATATATTATTTCTGAATTTATGGAACTCGAAGGATTTTTTTGTAATGTCTAATTTGGCCAGGTACAAAAATGGAACAAATTTAACAGTTTAATGGCTGAAGATTATGCAACAGTTCCAACTGTAATTGTTCCTCGATCTCATATTTTTAAATTGAACATTTTGGAGATATTCAAGTAGCTCTAAATTCGTCAGTTTTATTAAAGTATCTTTATACAGAGTATTCAGCCACATCTGGAAAACATTTTAATGGGAGATTCTGGAAGCCAAAGTAAAAAGAAAATCAACAATACCAATTTGTTGATTGACAAATTCTAAATCTTGTGCACTTTCGAGAGAAAAATTCGAGTAGGTGGACAAATTTTTCGGCGAAAATGAAAAGTTTCAAATCATTCTGGAAAAATTATTTTTGGTTGCAGGAGTCAATTACAATCATTTTTGGTCAATAGGCATACCTCCAAAATCCTACGCACTTTCGAGAAAAAAATTCTTTACCACAAATATAATTTGTGGCCAGAGATCTGTGATTATATTCCTCGTTTTTATCACTTCATATGTAGATATAGTCCAATTATTCGGCGTATACAATTTTAATGGAAGATTTTCGAGGCCAAAATGAAGAATACTAATATGTTGATTGAGGCTTCGTTAAAGAGTTATTAACGTTTAAAGTTCCGCCTGTAGTAATGGCTCTCACTCAGCATGAGAAACTCTACTTACTAACGTATCGTCAGCCTTATAGTTCCCATATTTTTAAATTTAACATTTTGGAAATATTCAAATAGATCTAATTTCATCAATTTTACTAAAGTATCTTTCTATATTATATCTGAATTTATGGAACTCGAATGTTTTATTTGCAATGTCTAACTTGGCCATGTACAAAAATACAACGAAATTAACAATTCAATGGCTGAAGATTACGCTACAATTTCAACTCTATTTGTTCCTCCATTCCATATTATTAAATTGAACATTTTGAAAATATTCAAGTAGCTCCAAGTTCATCAGTTTGATGGCTGAAAGTTAAGACCCCATATTTTTAAATTGAACATATTGACACTATTTAAACCTCTAGTTTCATCAGTTTTACTAGATTATCTTTACATATTATTTCTGAATTTATGAAACTCGAAGAACCTGATTAATTTGTTCGCACTACATCAGTTACTTTTGAAGAATGTTCCAGGGAGCGACGGTTACAGTTTGCAAGACAAAATTGCTCGACGCTGGCCACATTTTCCTCGCTGGTAGCAGCGTACAATATAAATAGCCGGGGGCGAAGGATGCGAAGTCCACGTGCAGATTTCCCGCACGTCGCGTACATGTAAACACCTTCGAATCGCGTGTTCGGAGACTGCAGTACGCCTCGTATATTTCCTTAACGCATTCACTGCCGCTCCGACATTTTAACACCCGCCCTCTGGGAGCCCATTATCGGATACAAAACGACCTCCGTGTGAAAATAATATATCTCTGCGAGCCTCTGTTTGACGACGACAACGCGTCGAGAACGCGTCAAACACGCTCGTTTCGACGACTTTAGTTCCAGGCTGATGACTCGGTGGAACCCGGGTCGCGACTTTTCTTCGGAGACGAGCAGAATTTCCCTCGATAAGATAATCAACTCGAAACGATTTATTACATTCCCACTTGCTCGTTTCGTAATTCTAATTTTTGTCGAACGAATCGCGAATGCAACTTTGTTCGTCTTATGTTCGGTGTTCGAAATTATAGCGTGGGTGGAAATTTTGCCCGTCTCTGCTTTCTCGCGAGGGCTGTTCAAATTTCAGGGCTGAACCACGTGGATCCATTGGAGCATGTACGACGAAACGGTGATTTTATCAATTCGAAATTTTAAACAGGTATGAAATAATAATTACAGGGTGTTTGAAAGAGGATTCCGGGGCATAAGAATCACTGAATTTGAATGTTTCGTTTAATTTAATGATTATTACTCTGTGAATCTTGAACCCCCTTTTTAACATCCTGTACAGCATGGTGCAATAACTATTACCGCCTTAATTATTTTCAAAATTATAGCAGCTGGAGTAATTATTGTATGGTGATGATATTCTTTTTAGCTCGTTTGCCCTTAACTCTGTACAGCTGCTATAATTCTTTTTAATAGAATTCAGGTGTTAATAGCTGCTTGGACCATCTTGTATATTAGTGCATAATTATACGGTGGTTTGATAGTAATAAATAGTAGAAACGTATGAAGTGCCGTCGAGCCATTGCGTTTGAAAAGAATTTTACTAATCGAAATGTTATATTTAAATGCAAATTCTATTACCTGGATCATTATAATATGTACTTAACGTTCGAAATGGCTGTGCTGAAAATGATGAGTGACTGTACAAAACACATCAGGAATTCGAAAATTCCCTGACTGGCGTCTTCCTCTGTGATTAAATAATCTCATTTGCGGTCGGTTGTTTTTTTTCAAAAAAAGAAAACTGATCTCTGAGAAAATTGTGAAAAGAACTTTTACATTCACGTGCCCCGGGAATATTGCTTGTCATCGATTAATTCTATTTTATTAGTCGCGTTATATTATTGCAAACACCGCGTATTAATTTAACCCGCCTACGATACCAGGCAAAATGACCGTTAATGCGATTAATTTCATCCACAACTGCAAATGGAATAGTCGCTAGCAATACTAATTTCACCTACACACTAATTGCATTAATTTTATCCACAGTTACAAATTAAACGACCGCGAATAATTTGATTTGCAACAGCAAGCGAAACGATCGTAAACAGAATTAATACTGGCCATTGTTTCTGATCTATCTGCTGGAAAATTATAATCTTTTTTTTTTCAAAAAAAGAAAATTATATAACGAATGTACCATCGAGTTCGTTGAATTTTTTCCGACCGCAGATGTAGAATAATTATATTCGAATTTCAAATTCTTTAGTCCTCGAATATCATGTAATATCTTACTTTTCGAATAATCGAAATTAACGTGGTTCGAAATTGAACGAGACTCGAACTTGAACCAGCCTCGCGAAAAAAAAACAGCTGCAGATGAATATTCGATACGGACCACACGAGCGAGGCTCAAATTATCAGTATTATCTAGGTTTGTAAAGAGCCCACGTTAAAAGGACGCGCGAGGGAAACCGGAAGTCATCGCCGAGCGCCTGAAGTCGATGACACCGACCGTTCGACCAAACGATATCACTCCATCGTCCAAACGCACGATTAGCGATGGCAGGTTAATTGTTATAAAGTTGTATTCTCGTAAAAACGGTAAAACAGTTGTATAAAGCAAACTCGACTCGATTGTCGGCGATTGTGGAGAAAGAAGCGTGTGGTATGTGCGTGGGTGTCGACAGACTTGTACTCGATGTTGTTCACTGAAACGGCGCTGTCTGCTTAAACCGTGACATCGACTACTTGATTCGCGAATAACAGAACAAAAGATAAACAAACCATAGATCTTCGCGAGGCAAACGATTTAGCCACGCGTTCGGATTTAAAAATTCAATTTTTCAATGAAAATTGTTACGAAAATGGTTTAAGGGTGAAGATTGTACACACGTTAGACTTAACACTAGAACTACAATTATGGTGTATTTATCTGTACCAAAGAAATTAAAACGAAATATATGTTTATTCATTTTCTTATAAAGAAACTAAATTTTCAAAAATTCAGTTGAGTAACGTTTTTACGATTATTATTAGGAATTACGAATCATTTTGACCGCTTTGGTAGTTCTAGTGTCAATTCGAGCCTCTTTAATTTAAGTATACAGGGTGTTCGGCCACCTCTAGCAAAAATTTTAATGAGCGATAGTAGAGGCCAAAATAAGACGAAAATCAAGAATACTAATTTGTTGATGGAAGCTTCGTTAAAAAGTTATTAACAATTAAATTCAAAAATTTCAAATCGTTCTGGAAAAATTATTTTCGGTTGCGGGGGTCAACTACAATCATTTTTGGTGAGTACACATACCTCCGAAATCCTATCTACTTTGAGAAAAAAAATCGAGTAGGTGCTGAAATTTTTCGGCGAAAAAAAATTTTTCAAATCGTTTTAAAAAAATTATTTTCGGTTGCGGGGGTCAATTACAATCATTTTTTATCATTACACATACCTCCGAAATCGTACGCACTTTCGAGAAAAAAATTCCTTACTGAAAATCCAATAAGGTGCCTAAATTTTTCAACGGAGAAAAAAAATTGCAAATCGTTGTGGAAAAATTATTTTCGGTTGCGG